CTTGATATGCCTGAATGCTCCCTATGCGGTGAATCTCCCTCTGCTCACCTACGCTCATCTTGTTTGCTTCGCGACCTAGATACAGGTAGCTCAGAGATATTCGTTCTTTTTGAAGTGAAGGGAACATCAGGTACCAATCATTTTCTCATGAACAGCGTCTTCTTCTAGTCTCAGGCCAATCTTTCCACAAGCGTTGTCAATTCGGCCAGTGTTCTTTACGCGTGATTGATGTTCGGTGTCATTAGCACGATATTGTCTGCAGAGCAGAGGTGATGTAAATAGCTGCCGTCGACCTTCAATCCAGTGTTTTCCCATTCCAAATGATGCATGATGTTCTCTAGCGTGGCACTGAAACGTTTGGAGAGAATAGTATCGCTCTAGCGGACCCCTCCCTTCACGTTGGTAACGACTTCCTTGTATAATAACGAATTCTCGCGGTGAAGCTGTTGCAAAGCTCACGATGCATCCTTATGTGTTAAGTTGAGCGTTGCATATGCATCAGAAATAGAAAAGCAATTCCAAGAGGGAAAAGCGCAGGAAACATGTCTGAAGAAAGGTTCTGCATGCGAATTAAGGAAATGAAAGAAAGTGAAATCTAAAGCCTCAGAAGTAATTCCAAGAACTCCTTCAGAAGCTCCATTACAAAAGTGTCATGGCATACTCACGTCAACATGAGTCAGCCTCAATCGCAAGGGATCGCGGGTTGCGAGTGTGACGTGACCCAGTCATCTCGGCTACAGAACCGAACAGAAGGCAACAGTAAACTAACGCTGCATAATTTGCTAGACTTTTGGATGCCGATTTTGGGCTCCAATATCCTCTCGGAGTTCACTCTTGCCACATGTCAGTGTTTCCACGTTGCTGCCTTTATCCTTTCCGAACTCCAACGTTTTACTTCAAGGGAGTAACTTTTGTGAACGTTGCCCTGTCATCCACCAAGAGTGTTCCCATCCTTCTATTTGTGTTTTTCGAAATTTGAACGCTCTAAATTAAAGGAATCAATTTTTGCGCGCTCATTTCCCAGTGCAAGAGTCTACACCTGCTACCTGTCATCTTTGTCTAAGTGCTGCCGCCTGCATTCCTCCCGAATTTGAACGCCCTAACTTCGAGGGAGCAAGTTCCGCGCAGACTCCATCCCCTAGTGGACGGAGTCCAGTCTTATCACCTACCGCGACTGTTTCCATCCTGCCACTTCTATCCCTCACGAATTCGAACGTCTTAACTCTAAAGGAGCAATTTTCTCCTACGTTCCACCCCCAGTAGGTGCATTCCAGTCCTGTCACTTACCACCAGTGTTCCCATCCTGCCGATTACATCACTTTCAAATTTGACCGCTTCAGTGCTCGTGGGCTGTACCGGTCAAAGGTCACGTGTTCGCAAATTGCTCAGCTCACTCACTTTCTCCAACCTTGCTGAGCTGTTTCAGTTCAATTTCAAAGAGCCACCGTATAAACAGGTGGTACAAATTAGTGACTTAGGCAAAAAGAGGAACAGACAAACGGACAATCGCGGTTTACATATTGTAAGAACACTATTTGGATCTGAGTCTAAACTCTTTCCAGCGACTGAAATCACTTAATGTTGCTGATGACGTCGAATGAATTGTATACAGTGAGCATCTCTCCTACAAGCTCCAATCACCCTTTCTCCGCGGTTCAGTATGTTTAAGGACAGCGTTATAAATTTAGGAACATAGTTCCGCCCATCCCACTGCAAATTCCACCCATTTTCGACATTTGGAAACATTTCTCCCATAAACTGTAGCCACTTTTTTTCAGTTTTCAGAATGTTCTTGAAAAGAATTGCGAATTGTTGCTATAGCCCCGTCAACACGAGTGCAAACTCACCCACGTTGACAGGTTGGCCACGTCTCCTCTATGACCTCCTGACAATTTTCTCTGTTCTCTACAACATTTTTGACCAGAATTATGATTCTATGATCTATGCCCCCCACCCAAGGGCAAAACACCCATTTCGGGGTTTTGACCTCATTCATTCTATATCATTTTACCAGTTTTTCCACGTTCTAGAATTTTTTGGGCGAAATTATACATGTTTTCAAAAAAAGCACCTCCCATCAGAATGCACACCCGATCATCGCAGGTGGAGCTTACGCATGCTCAGCGCGTATAAGCACTTGTTCGCTCCTTTCATTTTTCCTCCTGGTCTACATGCCCTCTCTCAATCGAGTTATTTCACATGTGCAAAATATCACCTACTTTGAGGACGCTTCACCCTTTGCAGGTGGGTCTTCCTCGTCTAGTTTGTCGACCCTTTTCTTACATACCAGCTGGTCTAATCGTGCGCTTTTCACGGCTTCTGATAAATGAATTTTTATAATCTGAAGCTTTATCGTCTCAGCAACACAGAAACCATCCTTGCGCGAAAAATGGAAAGAAGTCGCTTCCCACGTCAAATAATGACGTCATTGGCCGTCTATCGATAGCATTTCCAGCAAACTGTACTTGACGACTATCTTCATTCGTTTATGCCCTCATACCTTAACCGAGACAATTCTAAAACCCGAGAACGGGTCTCAAAATCATTCACTGTCTTATTTGCTCCTTCACCATTGTAAAATATCTGTACTTCAACGAGAAAGAAATGAAATTTCTTTGCACTTCTTTCATTTATCTGCCTCGTCGAATCATGCATTGCAGCATGCATAACATAACTATCAATTATCTTGGTGGAGCTCTGCATATATTATTATTTTGGTAAGCATGAGCGTTCTGCAGTGACGAGGCAAGTGAAAGGAAACCTTCACTCCGACTGAACATCAAGCTCTGTACGGAAAGCTACATGGTATCTGTAAAAGACCGTCGGATCGCTCGAACATTGAGTAGTTATTATATTATAGCAGCAGCCACACATCGAGTAGTACAAAACTACACCATTTCAGTTGCCATTTCAAATCAATCGTTACATTCCACCACATTTCTTCAGCTTTCTTAGAGTTGGAACGTTATACGGATAAAGGAAACAAAATTGCGATTGAGGGGTCAATTACAGAATTGATTGGAATAGCATACCGCTGTATCGGCCAACATCCCCATGACGGGATATTCCTACCGGGACACTGTATCCCTACCACACATGAAGGCTACACAGGGCAAAGGAGCCAGGTTGTAAATTAACTTTACATAACCTGGATGGCCTCTAGATACGATTGCCAATTTTGGATTTTACACTTTCCTTGTCCTCCTCTCCGATTTCCAGTCCTGCAAGCCGCCATCAGTCCTCCCATCCTGCAGCCTGCACTTCTACCGAATTCGAATGCTCCAGGCCAATTTTTGCGCAAGCCCCGCCTTAGTGTTCGGAGTCTACACGTGCTACATGATATTACCTGCTTCCCTGCCCAACGTGAACGCTCCAGGTCCGAATCTACAATTTTCTCGCAACCCCCCCCCCTCAGCGATTGGAGTCTACATGTGCCACCTATGATTAATGTTCCAAAATTTCCACCTTCTGGATGTCTACCACATTTGAATTTCCCAGGCCAAATTTACAATTTTCGCGCACGCCCCAACCCCAGTGGGCAAAGCTTACATCTGTCACGTGCCGTTGGTGTCCTCATCTTACTGCCTGTATCCCTGCCAAATTTGAACACTCTAGGACCAGGAGAACAGGAATTACAGATTTCCTGTGAACCGCATTTTTTTCACCGCACCGCCCCTAGTGTGTAGAGTCCAGCTTGGGTGGCGTGTTGTCATGTGGCTTAGCTCATTTTCCACTTACACCAACCTGCCTCGGCCGTTCCATTCCCAACTCCGGGAGGCGTCATAAAAGATGGCTACAAACAGACAAACAGATCGACAGACAACCGATGGAAATTTGTGATTTATATATAATAAGGATACAGTCTGCGCCATAAATAAGTATCTTATATGTATCATTTTCTTTGGCCGACACCACAGAGGAGAAACATTCTAAGCGTCCACTGTTTGGGCTTAAAGGCATCATTCCAAAGACCATTGAATGGAGTATTTGAATTTTTGACAAATCAAGTTTTGAGTGAATAAGGGGGAAAGAATCAGGGATGTAATTCAGCCTCCGTTTCAAGAATGACTCACACGGAAACTGGACTTGCCAATGTTTCCCCTCTGTGCTCATCAATAGGGTGAGGGAGAACTGGATAGTAGAATAGAACCTTCAAAATACAACAATTATAAATAAAAATTAAATTATCAAAAAGAAATAAGGAAAATATGCTTTCCGCTGGCTTATCACCTCAACGCAGTGGGTGGCTGGCGTGTGGGCTTGTCCGCTTTACCACGTCTATTTATGTAAAAAAAACCGCGTTTTGAAAATTTTTAGTATTTCATCATGTGCTCCAATGCAAAGTTCTGGTGATTTCAGTTATGAGGCTTGATGTTGATAGACTAGCCGCTCCGCCCTCGAAGCTGTAGTATGGTAGTTGTAAAAGAACTGGGAGGCTGGCGACACCCTTGCTTGAGTACCCCTTATCCGTCCGCCCGAGGTCGCGGTTGAATTCGTTTATCACGCGTTAAGTTGCACACAGCAAGTCCCAGAAATTTAGCCTAAATTGCATTCAGTGCATTCTGGACTAAGAACAAGGACTCGCTTGGAGAAATATTTGTCTACCAAAAGAGAGGCAACCTGTTGCTTTGCCACACATTTTCGTCTTTACCATCAGATGTCAGATTGTATGATACGGAAGCCCTTGCCAACGTTTTTTCTACTATTCGATGGAATTTTGCTTGGGGCTCCCATTGTCCTTATATTTATATCGAAAAATGTATGTATATATCTTCAACGGCACGTGCGCATGTCCACGCGGCTGAGAGTGGGCCCCCCACGTGTCAGAGCCTGGCAAGCTACACGCGGCTATTCATTTGCCAAAAACGGTAGTAAAAATGGTGGCCCTTATTACCCCGATACGGCGGCGTAGGGTAAGACCTATCGGCAGAGGCTGCTGAAATCTCAGAGCATCGACAGGCTGCCTAAAAGGATAAGGGCTAAGTTGGCGATCTGTACTTTCAACGCACGAACGCTTGCATCCGATAATGCAAGCCAAGAAGATCAAGTACGACGTCATCGGACTTGCCGATGCGAGAAGACATCGCTCTCTGCACGTAACTTTTGAAACTGAAGAAGAACTTTTCCTTGAAACATGCGAAAGCAAAGGCGTCGGCGACGTGGGTGCCCTCGTCAATGCGCACTTGCCCATGCACATTGATTCGTACGAAGGCTGAAAGCGTTCTATATGGATCTGGAGAGGCTCTACAGAGAAGACCATACTTCCTTCGAGGCCATCGTCGGTGATTTCGACGCCAAGAATGGCCCCAAAGGAACGGCCTACATGTTGAGGCTCACTGAATGGAATGAGCGGGGTGAAATGCTGTCCAAGTTTACCATATCGACCCACACTATCCATGGTAACTCGCAGTCCAAAAGTCCTCACATTTCCGAAGGACGTATGAGTCACCTGGTGTGCGATTCCACAATGAAATAGATCATAACATCGTCAATCGAAGGTTTTGCCTGACTGACGTCGCTTTTGGTCAGGAACTCTACACGGGATCAAACCATCGTCTCCCCCACGCTAGATTCCACTTTTCAGTGCGTGAAAAGAGAGCTGCGAAATTTAGGAAACGGAGCCCTAGGCTATTGGCGAGATTGTGGGAGGATTCCGTCAGGGAAAACGTCGATGAAGAGTACGACATTTTTACGATAGTGCCAGGAAAGCTGAGAGCCTAAAAGATGTGGAGAAACGTCGCTCTCCGAAGACTCGCGAGCTGATACGCCAGCGAAGAACCGCGCGAGCCGCAGGCAATGACCAGCTACAGTCCGAACCTGCAAAGCTGTGCAGAGAAGCGATAAAGGGAGATCTGAAAGAGAGAAGAGCAGCAGTTTCGACTGAAGCCGCTGGAGCTGGGAAGAGCATTCGCACAGCCCGGCGGAGCTCCGCCTATTATAAGGCCAAGATGACTTTCCTTTATCGTCCTGTCGGAGCTGTTACTGCATCCGGAAGGGCAACGGAGAACGTCATGTACGACTTCTACTCCAATCTCTTCGACAGCCACGACTACCTGCCTACCTACCATCTCAGGCAAGACAGATACGTCGTACCTTCAGTTCTCCCTTACGAAATTCAACATGCCGCCACGCCGATGAGAAATGGCGCGGCACCCGGTCCTGACAAGCTCAAAGCAGACATCTGGAGAGTCTTCCGCCAGTCACTCTCAAAACCGTAGCCCGGCTTTTCAAGAGGTACCTGTCGGAATGCGATGCCTTCTCCGCGAAAAACTAGCAAGACCGAGTTGCTGTATAAGAAGGGAGATCCAGACGGCATCAGCAATTATCGCCCAATCTGCCTGCTGTCTGTGATCTATGAACTCTTTCCACTCCAAGATTGGCAGAATATTAGATGAAGGACAGCAAGTAGGTTTTCGGAGAGGGTTCAGTACAGTCGATCGCACTCACACCGTTACAAGGCTTACTAAAGTATCAAGGGAATACAAAGTGCCGTTATGTTAAACATTCGTTGATTTGAAGAAAGCCTTTGATTCCGTCGCGACAGAATCGGTAATTGAAGCCCTGGGCAACCAAGGAGTTTCTACCCAATAAGGTAAGGATGCCTTGTAAGCTTTACAACAACTTAACGACCAGGTTACGTCTTCTCTGAAGGGGAGAGTTCTGACAGAGCGCCCAGTCTACCATCTCGTTCAAACTTTTTGGTGCCGCTTTCGAGAACATGAAATGTGAAACATGAGACTGAAAGTCGACGACCGCTACTTACATCATCTCCGCTTTGCAGATGACATCGTGCTTATAACTCTGAACGTCGAGCAGGCGAAACAGGTGCTGGCCGAATTCGACAGCGCTCGCGGAAAGATCGAATTACGACTGAACCTAACAATGACGATTCCGTGCGCAACGGATTGGTACCTGATGCTCCTTCCACGTGGAACGGGACGAATATCTCTGAATGCTCTAGCTACGTATATCTAGATCGGAAAGTCAACATTATGAGCGGTCTAGCTCCAGAGCTGAGCAGAAGGAGACACGCGATCATTTAAGATCATTTAAGTTTATCGAGGGAGTAGTGAAAAAGGCGAAAAACATCCAGCTCCGCTCCCACCTTTTCGATGCTGTGGTTCTTCCTGCTTCAAAATACGCCTCGGAGAGTTGGACTCTACGAAGGCAAAATGCGTCATTCAACGCGTCATTCAACGCGCTATGGGAAGGAAGATGCTCGGAATTCTTCTATACACGCAAGTGCACAAGGGAATCCGGAGTTCCGAGCTCCGTAGACGAACGAAGATCTGGGATGCCATAAAAATACGCCAAGATATCAAAAATCAGATGGGCAGGGCACGTCATGCGATATATTGATAGTGAGGACCGCTGGAAAAAGGCGGTTACGGACTGGATTCCTCGGAATGTCAGACGAACACCAGACAACCGCCGGCCCGATGGACAGACCTCTTAAGGAAAGTTCTGAACGGAAGGAATGTTTCCTCTTGTCCCTAGAGCGAGAATGATTCACTGGACTACTCTGTCTCGCGATAGGGACGGATGGAGACGTTACTGGTAACCGCTCGAGGGAACCGACTGTCACTGGGATGACATGTGACACAGAAGATACAGTTGAAGGAGAGTATGCAGTATTCAATATTAACAGCAGAACATTAACAATACATTTCACACTATCCACCACTATTTGACTGCAAAGCAGCAATGTCCACATAACTAAGGGGAAGGCAGTTGTAGACTATGCTGAAAGCGAGTCTATGACGTCTGCAGTTATTCGCACCTTATTTGCGTTTTTCTCCTCTTCTTTGTTCGGCATTAGCGCTCGTACACTTTGGGAAGGGAAGAAATCCTAGAAGCACCAATGTCCCTATTTTTAGTTGGTTTTGATTTCAAGCTCTTTGGGATATTTGGAACATGATCAAAATGCAGGTTAATAGTGGTAAATATTCACACTACACATATTGAAATTTCGCGTGAACAGATCAAGTAGGAAAGGAGCTACGTCTGGAAATTACAACTGAAGAAGCATTTCGCCGAATACTTCTAAGCGCTACTGTATATGTATATATGTATACATGTATATATATGTATATATGTATATATAGGTATATATGTATATACAGTAGCGCTCAAAAGTCTTCTGTGAAATGGTTCTTCAGCCGTACTTTTCAGTCGTAACTTCCTTCCTACTGGATCTAATCAAGCGAAATTTCTATATTTGGAGCGTGGATGTATTGTGAACATTTACAACTTTTAACCTGCAGTCTGATCATGTTCCAGATATTCCAAATAGCTTGAACTTAAAATCGACTGAAAATACAAACGATCGTCCTTCTAAAATCTCTTTCGTTTTCATCACGTCGAATGTGGATGAGCGGTAACGACGATCACAATAGATGAGTAAAACGCACATAAGGTACGAATAAGTGCAGACGCCAACAACTTTAGTTTTAGCAAAATGTGCTACCGCAACAAACACCTCGCTCTATCTGTGGATATTGCAGCTTTGCAGTCACATAGGGTTGGGTAGGGTGAAATGTGCTCTAGTTAAACATATCCAAGTTTCGCGCCATTTGGTCTACTAAGAAAAAAGTTATGAACGAAAATGCGTCAAAGCATTTCACCGAAGACTTTTGAGCGCTACTGTATATGTATATATGTGTATATATGTATATATATGTATATATGTATATATGTATATATATGTATATATGTATATATATGTATATATGTATATATATATGTAAAATGAGAGAAGAAAATAAAAATGTGTATCACAAAAGCTCAGTAATCGACCTGTTTGATAACGAATTAATCAATGAACGCGGGTGAATAATTTTACCATGACCTTAGTAACATAGCTTAAAAAACCACTGTTGTAATTAAGCGCGATCACTCTTACGTAGGTTGCCTTTTATATTTCAGGATTAGAAAACAAAAACAAATATCAATTATAAAAAATCACTTTATTGCCTTTAAAAATGTTCAACATTGAGATCTATACACCTTTGCATGCGATCGAACCAACTGTCGGAGCACCTTTGCCACTCTGAATTCTGAACGCATTAACGGCTTCTTCAGGTGTCGAAAAACGTTGACCTCTTATTTTTTTTAAGTGCGAGATAAGAAGAAGTCACCCCGAGACTATATGGCTGATGACTCATCAAATCGTTGTTTGAGTTCTCAAAAATGTAGTTGTCCGAGCCGATGTGTGGGAGCTCGAATTTCGCGGTGAAGACTGATCCGTCTTTGGCAGTTGTTTTTCCTGATTTTTTGGAAGGCAACTGGCAATTAATTGTTTGTATATCACTCAGAATTGAATGTTCTACGTTGTTCTGGTGGTACGGTTGCAACATGTCCAGTTTTTCCGGAAAAAACAGGCGACCATTTGCTTGGAAGTGCTCCGTGTGCGGACAGCTTTCTTTGGATTTGGCTCATCTTGAAATACTCATACGGTCGACTGCCGGGCTCATACGCGTGAACCCATGGTCCATCACCTGTCGCGATGTCATAAACGTGCTTCGATGCACGTGATTTTTTGAGCATTTCTTTCGACCCATAGACAAGAGCCTTTTTTGAGGGATTGACAAATTTGTGACAATCAACACGAGCCTTTTTTTCGAGGGATTGATAAATTTTGTGGGATCCAATTTTTTCCAGTCAAATGTTCATGCAATACCGAATGTATGCTGGTCCCTTTAATGCCTAAGGTTGTTCCAATCTCACGATAGGTCAGATGACGATCTTGCAATATTAGTTTGCGCACAGCGCCAAGGGAGTGAATAAATTTTTTGAGTTAGTGTAAACAACACAAAGAGTGCTCATATGGTAAAAGTTCTGTGTGCGTATAGCCTCAAAAATGTCAATCTTTACGATAGAGCTGCCAGTTGCAGTCAGCATTACATTCACGTTATCAGGAGCAAAAAATGAGGGCCATTTGCGATCAGCGACTTTGGAATCGGATAGGAGGTTAGCTAATAACACTTCTCCACTTGCACCCCTATATTTCTGATCGCACACAACTCGTGTTGTGAAAATTCAGAAGTTGATTAGAGCGGGCAATGTATGTGTAGAATCCGACCTATTGTAACGCGATTTCAGTAAGTGCAATCGTCAATAGCAGTTTGATGCCGCGAGACCATCATCAAAGATTTGTCGTGCACGTGCGTGCAAGTGTGAAAATTCGGCTACAAGTTGCTATCCACCCGCCGTTTTGGCTATAAATAATAGGCTGCTTCACGTTTGACATTTGCTAAAGGACATAAGAGCGAACACCCATACTGTCGTAAAAGGGTAATTGTGAAGCAATTGCAATGACGAATGTAGAGGGAAGCAGACAAACAGAATAAACTACTGCTCAGGCATTCATCACACAAACGACTATGGTGGCACGTGAAA